TTTTTTTTAAAGAATTTGTTTTAAGAAAATTAAGAGCCATTTAGGGCCATTTTTGGGATTGTGATATTATTTCATGTCAATTAAGCAGAAAATCTAATGTAATTTAATCTAATCAAACTAATTAGAAATATATATAATTATAAAAATCGGATATAAAAATACTGTATCACAGTATAACAGGAATCTAATATTCAGCTTTGTAAATAATGGAAAGTACATATGAACCTCAAAAGTAAAACATCTGGGCATATAGTAATGAGTAATTTGAGGCGAAATACCATGAAAATGTTGCAAAAATTGGTTAATTTTTTTGGGGGTTCATTTTTATAAAAATTGACATCTTTTTGATTGACTCACAAGCACATAGTGAGACCTGTATCATTTCAAACTACCCCAGGTCTTTTTTTTTTTTTTAATTCATGTTTACCAGTAGTATGTAACACATACAGCGCATATATCTCTCCTGCACTATTACCATCACTGCACATTAGAAGGACCTCAAGTAATGCAGAGACTTCCCATGTATCATACTGTAAGTTCAGGTTGTGTAGTAAAGCAAGGGTACATCACTTTTGTTTGCTAATTGACTGTGCAGATATAATGGGCTGTGTGTTCTCTCAGTGTTTCCTTAAAGTACTACAAGGACAGTGGAGGGCCTCTCACATTCTGATGTGCTTTTAGATGCCTTGTAATGGATGGTACAACACATTGCCAGACACGGCTCAATAAACTAACAAGCTAATCGATAACAGCATTTTTTTTAATGGTTGGCTGAAACTGAAGTCTGAAGTTTTTTTTCTTATCTCCTCAATTTAGATGTCTGCTTGAACTTTTTTGTTGCCATTTTTAAATGCCTCTCATTTTAAGCTCAGATGCATTTGACAGTGGTTTACTTTTAATCTGTTGACAAACAGGTATCTCTATTTTAGTACTTCTTTCTAAAGACTGAATTTTGGTAGCACAGCTGCTAACAAATGAGACAACAAAAAAACAGTGTGTGTTTTGTTAGTAGAAACAGCGTAAATTGGTATTAGCATTTGTTCCATGGGCTATCTGTGTTATATTGTGTCCATGTGATAGTTGATGTCTCATGCAGCATGTTTTTCTTTTTCATGACTCTTAAATGTTTGAGAACTATATTTGGCCTCATATGAAGACACATCTAACAGGACTTTTGGGGCTTTAGGTCTGAATTGTGTGTGTGTGTGTGTGTGTGTGTATCCGAGAGAGAGAACTCTGAGAAAGCCTGGGCTGGTCTGCCTTAGTGAGTCAGTTTCCCCAGACTGTGCTGCCTCCACTCCCGCTCAGCTCAGCTCAGACTATAATTATTTGATTATTTTGGTCGTTTCATATAAATGGACTGGCTATGGCTATTAGAAATTGCTTTATGCAGTCTGTAGTGTACAAGTCATTTTTATCGCTCTATAGAAGAAGTGAGTGTCTGTTTCAATGTTCATACACGTCAGGACTTGTGATTACATTCCTATGGTTAAGCCGTGTTGCATAACGCACACAGAAGAAAGAAAAATCAGTCTGCCATTCCTTAGTCCACTCATCCTTTCCAAGGTATCTAGAAGTATTAAAATTAGAGCCCGACCGATATATCGTTTTGCCGATATTATCGGCCGATATGAGCCTGTCGCCGATATATCGGCATCGGCGAATATGCCGCCGATATTAAATTTTTTTTACAGAACATATAATGCAGATAAAATGCTTGAAATGGTGTAATTACTTAGTTTGTCCAGCAGAGACAATGTCCTCTATTGTTTGCTACTGGCGACCTGGGTGAAACGCTTTTGAAGCTTAAGTCTATGGAAAACCACTGAAACTTTGAACGGCCATATGTCCATAACGGCGCGGCGAATCCTCACCAAATTCGGGGGATCCCTTCAGCTCGAGGAACCCTCTCGAACGCGAGTGTACGTCTAGAGGCCTTCGAATGAGACCACCCCCGCGTCGATAGCCCCCGGGGTTCGGGATAATTTAATTAAAGTTGAAAAAACTTCAACTTTACTGTTCAATGCACTGATGTCAGACTCGTTTTGGATAATAAAGTTTATTGTTAAATTGTTAATAAATGCCCTGCCTCCATTACGTATCTCTGTCACGTCATTATAAGTGTTTGGTCACCACATTTGCATGATCATTGCAAAAAATGTGTTTATGTATATATATTCTGTTTATGTATATACTGTATTCTATATATAGTACCAGTCAAATGTGTGGACACACGAATGGGAAAGTGTCCAAACTTTTGACTGGTACTGTGCTATAATATACACAAAGAATATCGGCCGATATATCGATATCGGCCTTTTTTTACTCCCTAATATCGGTATCGGTATCGGCCCCAAAAAACCCATATCGGTCGGGCTCTTGTCATTGAACTTTGTGTGTTTGTGTTGTCCAGGGAGGTACGCTCATTCAGTATGATGGTAAGCTTCGGTTACTGGAAATCGCCCAGGTTCCCAAAGCTCATGTAGATGAATTCAAATCAGTGACCAAGTTTAAGATCTTCAACACCAACAACCTATGGATCTCCCTGTCTGCCATAAAGAGACTACAAGAACAGAACGCCATGGACATGGAAATCATAGTCAACCCTAAGGTAGGGAAACTAAAAGCTTGCAGAAACCACAGCTTGGGTGTTGCCTTTTAAGATGCATCAAAGTATTGCAGTCAAATGAACCTGACTTTATACAGTTTCCTTGAAAAAGATTAGCCAGATAGTCATTCGGGGAACCAGACATTTGATTTTCTTCATTTCTTGTTTTAATTTCCCTTCTTAAATCTTCGTTTCCCCCAACAGTCAAGCTTTATTTTACTGTAAAGCACTATTTATAGCTGTGCACTAGAAATCTAGGTTTTATTCCTTTGGCCGCCGCCTTCTTTACACTATCACTTCTAAAACCTTAGTTGAGACCCCGATTCATTCATCAGGCCATGTGGGAACCTGTAACACTGCGCTTCAGCAGTCTCCTTTGTGGATTGTTCACTTCTGAATCAAACCCACTTAGAAAAGTCTCTAAACAAGCACTATAACAAGCTGATGTTGAGACTGTTTGAGTGTCCTTTTTATACCAGACCCAATAGCTCATTTGAGTAGAGATCATTTGGGGTCTAGTTCAAGGCTTGTGTGATCAGAGAGTTTGATGGAGAGCTTAACAACTGACAAAAAAGTACTTTTATAAACAATTTCTGTTGGGTTGTCTGTTCTCAGTCCATCACAGGAGACTAAAGAAATTAAAGGTAACCATAAGATGTGTGTGTGTGTGTGTGTGTGTGTGTGTGTATGTGTGTGAGACAGTTAGTTCAAAATTCTCAGAAGTGGGACAAAAAAGCTCCCTGTGAGAACATTCAGGGACTCCTCAGTTGGATATATAAAATAAAATTATTTGTCTTATTCTAGCACTGTACCCAAACCAAACACAATACAGCGTTTTCAGTTTCCAAATTACAAGTAATTTGTCTGTCTACACATGAGTAAACTGTCTACACAGTATAAAAATGCAAAGGGTTTAGTGTGGAATAATTATAATACGCATTATATAAAACCAATATGTTTTTCTATGGTATGTCCAATAGTTCTATGGTATGTCCTCATTTAGATAGCCAAGTAAGTGTGTGTGTGTGTGTGTGTGTGTGTGTATAGAGTAGTACACAGTTCAGCAGAGCTCCATATTGTAGCACCATTTCTTCCCCTAAGGCCCAGGCTCTCATCCAGCAAGACATTTTAAGCTGAAATTTGAGTTTGTTCTAGATTTCTTCACATCCAATCCCTCCCGCTCCTGTTCCTGTCAACCTTATACTTTTTCTGCCTGACACCAAGACCAACTATACAGTGCTTTCAGTGATGCCTCACACTTCCTCACCGATACTTAACATCAATTATTGTGCTTCATAGAACAATTATACATGGCTTCTTGACAGATAACATAAATATGGATTTAAAGTCAGCATGAAATGAAAATTCACCCTTCCTATTTTCTAAATGCATGTTATGGATCTTATTGTGAGCGATCATTCCATATGCTTAATTTTTTTCTTTTTTAATTTTTTTTTTCATCAAAATGTCATAACTCAATCTTCCAGTGAAATGACAAACTTCTCTCTGGTGACACATGCCAGACTTACAACTAACTGCAAATTCGCATTCAGATCTGCCTGCATCCAATCAACAGCCCATGAATAGAACCAAATCCCGTCCTACATTTTCTTTTTCAATAATCTGTTTCAATTGGATGTACATAACAATTCAGAAGAAAAGATCTGTTCCATCTAGTTTCCATTTCATTTTAGGCATAACTTTATATACAGTGGGGTATATAAAAGCCTGAGACTATACTAAAAATGTTAAGGTTTTTAAACTTTGATATAAATATGTTTTGAGATTTTGAGACTTGTAATATCACTGTGTGAAGTACAAATATTCCATATAATTTGTCCATATAGTTGCTAGAAAACTGTTGTTTAAAATCATTTTCTCCCTCTCTCTCAGACTCTAGATGGGGGTCTGAATGTCATTCAGCTGGAGACCGCAGTGGGTGCTGCCATCAAGTGCTTTGATAACGCCTTGGGCATCAATGTGCCTCGCAGCCGCTTCCTGCCTGTCAAAACCACATCTGACCTCCTGCTGGTTATGTCCAACCTGTACAGCCTGGAGGCAGGGTCTCTGACCATGAGCGAGAGGCGCGAGTTTCCCACAACTCCTCATGTCAAACTGGGCAGCTCCTTCACCAAGGTACCGCACCTAATGAAGTATTCACAACAAATTATCCATTCAAATCACATGGTGTTTCTCTCACGCTGCACAGTGTGTAGGCATGATCTCACTAGTGTTTCAAGACAACCAAATCTGCCAGCCAGAAACCCACTAAGATTTGAAAATAAGGACATCCTCATGAATAATATACAGTCTAATACTTCTGAAGCCTTGATCCAGTTTCCTTTTGTCCTTCAGGTTCAGGAATATCTCACACGATTCGAGAGCATTCCAGACATGCTAGAGCTGGATCACTTGACGGTGTCTGGTGACGTAACCTTCGGAAAGCACGTCTCTCTAAAGGTAAGAGCAAGGAACAAATAAAAAAAAAAAAGATTCCGCAAACTAGGCTTGCCGCGATAGACGGTGCTGACGGTGATACCGGTGTTAAGAGTTTTGCTAATAAACGTTAGTTCTTATTTATTTGGTTATATATTATACATGTTTACTTATTTCCAGTTTTGTATACCTATTTAAACTTTATGTAAGTTATTTTATATTAGGCATAGCCTGCCCTATAGCATGGTGTATTTTTATTCGTTTTGGTAATAAAAGTTCTCTGTTTTATATATAGGCTAAAGTGAGTTTGATGTTGTATTTGGTTGTTGCATTCAGGCAATTGACACCGAATTGCCGCTAATTCAAAAGTGAAAGTAAAATACGCAAGAGCGAAGGAAAGCGAGGAAAAGAGGGAAAATTCAAACTAACAATTGCTTTATGCTGAATTGCCACTATTTGAAAGTGAAAGTAAAATGTTCACGCCGCTTTTACAAGCTATTTAAAAGTGAAGGAAAGCGAGGAAAAGAGGGAACGCCCCGCCCCCGCGGTGATACCGGTATTACCGGTGTTGTCACACGTCGATTAACCGGTGGGAAAATTTCCTCACCATCACAACCCTACCGCAAACAGACGTTTTTGCTGGTGTTGTACAGTCTGATTATTCCTCTGTCTTGGCAGGGAACGGTCATCATCATAGCCAACCATGGAGACCGCATCGACATTCCAGCCGGCTCTATGTTGGAAAATAAAATTGTGTCCGGAAACCTTCGGATCCTGGATCACTGACGTGTCGTGTGACTTGGATGCAGAATCACATGACTGACCAACACCTATCACTGTCCTCATCATCATAACCAATCACGGAGACACAATCGACATTCCGGCCAGATCCATGAAGGAAAGTTAAAGTGTCTGGGAACTTGTGGATCTTAGAGCACCGACACCTCTGTGTCATGTGACCTGGATGCCAAATCACATGACCGACCCATACCTGCCTCTCTCAGAGCCTTCATTAGTGGTGCTGATCACAGCACACAGCACCACAAACACCATAAAATTTCTAATCCATTCCAGAGACATTTATTTTTGTAGTAGTTTGTGTGTTTTAGTTTCCTGTCATTTAGTGGTCCTCAAATGTTATGTACGTTACACAAATCTCATCGTTGTGTTTTGTTTCCGTTTTTTACTCTGAGAATGCAGTATTTCTCTTGTTGTATCTATGGCATCATAAACTGACCCTTCGGGGTCAGTGTCCTCTACTCGCTCAAAAATGTGAAAGAGTGCAAAGCAATAAGTGTTCTGCAACAGTGAAGGCTGATGGTTCTGTCTTTGTGTTCTAGAACCTGGTCTAGATCCTGAAAGTTCTGTGGAACTAAATAAAGTGCAATATGGAACAGAACAATAGCAGAAGTTCACTGTAAATTTAACACTCCTGCTTGTTATCTACAGTAGGAAAAAGAAAGCGAGGGAACAAGTATGTGCACAAGGAAGGGAAAGAAAGTAAAAAGAGCATCTACTATTTCAGCAGTGTATGAAGGCTGTAGACAAGGTCTTCCAGACTCCCTGGAGGCAGGAGGTTATTGTGTTCCACTGGTCTGTTAATGTGAAAGCAGCCAAGCATTAAACTCACTGTTAATAACCGGCACATGGAGCAGGACACACACACACACACACACACACACACACACATTGGTGATTTAAGATCAAAGAGGTCCAGAGATTGTTGTCACAGCCTGACAATCAGCTCCTGCGTTGACAAAATGTGAATTTAGGCAACATTATAATGTATAGTAAATTAAAAATTGGTATTTATTTTAAGATTGGCTAAAGATTCCATGTAACAGTGTTATTCATTTACTGGTGTTTTTAAAGATTAACTCTAAGTAAGCATTAGATAACGGCAGTAATTTAAATGTAAAAAAAATAAGGAAATGAGCATGCACAATTAAATATCCAACATTGTACAATACCAGTTAATTAAGAATCTGTAATATTCATCTGTGTTATCAGCATTCTCGACGGATCCTCTACTCCAGACTACAGTGTGCTGGAATGAAAACAGTTCCTGTCACATATCCTTTTCTTATTTTCCATCGTAACGGAACCACATAGGGATGAAATGTTTTTTTTGGTGAACACTGTGTAATAGTGTCACAAGATGAACTCATTAGAAGCAAAAACAGGAAATGGGTCTGACACATCCTCCGATGTGATGATGACAACAGCTGCTTTCCAGAGTCTGGTGGTAGTTATTAGTGGTTAGTAGGGGTCCATCATTTGCACAGGAATGCATGAAGCAAATTTGCTCAGTAGCACAAATTTTACTTCTTAAAATCGAATAGCCTCAATGATTAAATTACAAATCAATTCTCTATGCATCACAATGCATCTTGTCCTTTAGGTTTTTTTAATCAATACACACTGGGGAGTTTCAGTAGTCATTACTATTACTAGTGAAATATAAAAATTCTCAATGACAATTTCTGTAATATAGATGAAAATACTTTATACCTTATTTTATTTATTTGCAAAATGTAATTAAATATAGCTTCAAAATATCCAAGTAAAAATTTGATGATAAAAAACAATGAAACAAGCACATCAAACAAACTATCTAGAAAGTATCTAAACATTTTCCAGACGAGCAGGGAGTGATCTGTCTCTTTTTGCATCACACTTCTATGAACTGTTGCTTTGGCAGTGATGGGCTAATATTATTGATGTTGACATGTAAATGCATCTACCACAAACCACAAATCAAATGCAAAAACATCCTAATTCAGATGCCACTGTCATTGTGCACAATCCATTTTGCTGCTCCAATAATAACAATCCGAGTGAAATCAATATCGGTTTCAGCTGAGAACACTTCTGAACACATACTGTTAACTCAGCATGACTATATGGGGCTTTCATGATGTTGTTTCAGGTCAGTAATGAGGGTTATGAGGACTATTAACCTCAAATGCCATGCTGACATGCTGATACACACATTTTGCTTTAGGGGCTCATATACGAAGCAAGACGGAACAAATGGAAGTGAAGAGGGGAAGTGAAGATGATTAAATAGACTAAGAAAGTGGGAGAGAAACATCTGCTGTCAGATTGCTACTAATCTATTTACAAAGTTTAAATTACCTGCAAATAAATGAGAAAATTGATTTTTTAATTAAGAGTGAGTAATGAGATACTGTCTTCTTTTTCTTCTTTTCTAAGCACTATAACATTTTCTCATTAACCTGAGGTGCTTAGAAAAGCAGAGGCCTATTTGGGGGAGATTTGGAAATGCTTTGGAAAAGCATCCATGTTTCAAACTCTCATCCAGCTTGGTTTTGTCTATGTTGGCTCCTTAAACAGAAGATATTATATAATTGGTGCCGTTTTTAATCTTATTTTACGGGTTGTCTGATAAGTAGCATAATCAAAGGTTTGGTGGGAATTTGGGTTGTACTCACATCTGCACTGATCTATCACACTCTGCTGTTGTAGTACTGTATCCCTGAAGGACATCACATGACTTGATTTTGGCTGCTGCCCTCATTCTGCTGACGGAGAGGCCACTTATGTAAGTACAGACCTATCAAAACACACAAACAAATGATTTTTGGTGAGAAACTTGAGCTTTGCTTTGCTGTTCCAGACTTCCTTGACTATGTTCTGACTTAACAGATTATAATGCCAGAAAATCCCCCATCTGACCTGGAGTCAATTGAAATAGACTTCCCTCCCAGCCAAACTACCCCTTACAATTTTAAGATGGGGTATTTTAATTATTGTACTGACATACAAATATCTTACTGATTAGTGTAAGTCTCGTTTAGGCTACAAGTCGTTTTTAGGGCCTTCATCTTAAACGGCTTCAAAAAAACGAAAAAAGAAAATAAAAAAATAAGTAAATACACTAGGAAAAGTCTTATTATGCTGCCACCCTGTGGCCGCCCTGTTGGCCACCGCTTTCACACACCAAGCCAATAAGACCTTTAATTGAATGTTTGAAAGAATTAAAATAATCCGCAAAAAAGAGGCCTGGATCTGTATAGAAGGGGAACATCGTTCCAGCAGTAAATTAATGGTAAATGTTTTAAATGTAAAGTATTAAAGGTATATATTTTACTACAAAGAACACAACAACAAAAAGTAATTTACAGGAAGAAATATAAATAGCTTTGTCAGAATGTATTTACATTCTCACAAAGGTACTTATATTTTTTCCTGTACATTTCTGTGAAGCAGTATTATACGTGCAGTGTGATATTGTTAATAAACAAGAAGTTAATGTTGAGTAACTTACATTGCACTAAAAGCACAGTTTGTTTTTGCAGCGCCATTGAAAATCTTTCCACACGAAACCACAGCACACTAACCGTTGCTAGGCTCTGAGCAAAACACAGCAGGGGCCTTTACTTTCTGGTTTAAACGAATCGGTTCAATGGATGATTCAATGATTCACTCATAATACACATAATTATTGGTCGCCATCGACCTTATAAAGAGTAACAGACTGACAGAATGCGTAAAAACCAAGCTGTTGCTGTGCGAGACTTCCGGTTCATTAGCCGCTGTAGGGAAATAACGAGAAGAATAACAAAGTGCAGTAAACTGTAAACTGTTTGCACTACAAACCAGTTTGTTCATAATTAAGACATTAAAATTAATACATTAAAATAATATGGTAAGACACACATATTTGCAATATCAAGCAGCAAAACGAGCTGTTTTGTACAGCTAAACTGTACAAATATAAGCTAAACCCATAGTGGACTTCAGGAGGAACCCCCCTGCACTCCCCCCACTCACCATCATGAACAGCACTGTAGCTGCAGTGGAGTCATTCAGGTTCCTGGGCACCACCTTCTCTCAGGACCTGAAATGGGACACATTGACTCTATTGTGTATTTCCTTCGCCAGCTGAGGAAGTTCAACCGGCCACAGGAGCTGCTGAAACAGTTCTAGGCCTACTCTGCCATCATAGAGTCTGTCCCGTATTCATCTGTTTGGTTTGGTTCAGCTACCAAAACAGACATCAGAAGACTACAACGGACAGTCAGGACTGCTGAGAGAATTATTTGTGCCCCTCTACCCAACCTCCAAGAACTTTACATCTCCAGAGGGAGGAAAAAGGGCTAAGAAAATCACTCTGGACCCCTCACACCCAGCCCACTCTCTCTTTGAACTGTTGCCCTCGGGCTAGCACTACAGACCTGAAATGGGACACATTGACTCTATTGTGTATTTCCTTCGCCAGCTGAGGAAGTTCAACCGGCCACAGGAGCTGCTGAAACAGTTCTAGGCCTACTCTGCCATCATAGAGTCTGTCCCGTATTCATCTGTTTGGTTTGGTTCAGCTACCAAAACAGACATCAGAAGACTACAACGGACAGTCAGGACTGCTGAGAGAATTATTTGTGCCCCTCTACCCAACCTCCAAGAACTTTACATCTCCAGAGGGAGGAAAAAGGGCTAAGAAAATCACTCTGGACCCCTCACACCCAGCCCACTCTCTCTTTGAACTGTTGCCCTCTGGCTAGCACTACGGAGCACTGAGCACCAAAACAGCCAGACACAAGAACAGTTTTTCCCCCAGGCCATATCCCACCTGAACAACACATCACACCTCAGTACTGCACATCTGTAAATAACTCATTAAACCTTCATCTGTAAATAGCACATATGCACATTCACAGTTCTGTCTATGGACATTTTCTTTTTTTCAATATTTTTATTACTATTGTTATTTATAACTTATGGTCTATTCTCTTTATTATTAGTGTTTTTATTACCTTAATTATATGTCTGCACTATGTTTGTACTTTCTGTACTGTAAGCTCCCAACACCAAGACAAATTCCTTGTGTGTGTAAACACGCTTGGCAATAAAGCTCTTTCTGATTTCTTATTTAACGATTTGTAAAAATAGCTGGAAGCAGATGACACCAGAAGCCGGGAAAAATGGTGGATACAAAAAAAAATTGAAGCAAACACTGAACCATCTTGTGCGGTTAACACCACTTGACCTATCAAATTCTTTCCAATTGTATGCTTTTCTTGTTAAATGATGATATATTAATAAACCACAATTATTTGTTGATTCCAGGGGCCAGTTGCATAAATTTAGTCATGATGTTAAGACTATCTTAAAGGGGTCCTATTATGCTTTTTCACTTTTTTATTGTAGTCAGTGTGTAGTGTGTATGTTTGGGCATTAAAAAGATCTAGAAAGTTACAAATCTCACAACACGAGTGAGTAGTGCCAGATTCGCCAAAAGTTTTTGTTGAAAGACTGAGTAAGGGGCGTGGCAGTACTGAAACACCGTCTAAGCTGTTCGCCAATCACAACGCACTGGGACAGCTAACCAATCACAA